TCCCCCCCCCCCCCAACATTATCCCACTTTCACATGCTAAACAGTTTATCCCCTAAGGAAACCCAACGGCAACTCCTTGTAACCATGGAAATAAGGCAGCATTTCCCACTGTCCTTCCCTCCTCTCCGGCAGGAACAGCTGCCCGCTACGAAATCCCGCTCTCAGCAGAAGGTGCTTCAATCTGCGCTGGAACTGCGGCCGTGAGCCATCTTCTGCTCTCCTGAAGCCGTGACAGCTGCCTGTCTCCTGCAAGCGGAGCCCTTCCCGGTAATCCCTTGGAGGTGATGCTCCCGAGGCTCAGACAACAGACGGATCGGCCGCGACGCATCCTCTTGCTCCGCCGCACAGCGCTGAGGGCAGGGTTTGGGTGCAGAAAGCCGTGAAGTTCCTTCACCGACCGGAGGGAGAGCAGGGCCTGGCCTCGGCCAAGCGGTGGGGCAGCATCCGCAAGAGGAAACTGTAGTCGCCTTTCGGCTTGCTCCACCCCGACGTCAGGCAAAAGCGACGGTGGGCAACATTTGCTCTTCCCATTCCAGCACCGTATTCCACACCTGGGAGCACCAAAGACAAACGGGAACCCTCCGCCACATCTCCAGCCCCTTCACGAGTTCTCCAGAAACTCAGGCACCTGAATCGTTAGTAGGAACCTCGGTACGCTCCTCTCCCCCAGGGATGCCGACTTGATCCTCACTGAAAACACACCCAGCCTGACAGAGCACCCACGCATCTGCTGAGTAGGCGGTGCAAGACGCGGGCGTTTAACACCCTAACGACGGAGAATCGATGGAAGATTTCGTGCGGAGCCCGTCCTCAGCTCTCCAGCCGAGGCGTGCCCTTAGCTCCCCGTTCCCGCGTCACGGACTCGCCCTGTGACTCTCTCCCTCCCACCAGCGCGTGTGTGGGCAGGGATACAGGGGGCAAGCACGGTTTCGAGAATACAAAGCGGAGAGCCAGGCTCAGAGTCATCACACCCTTTTTTATACAGCAATTTGATGCAGCAAGAGAGAAAAAAGGAAACGAGATGCTGACAAGCATCAGCTCCCACCCAGCGAGGCAGAGATTCCCCTAACTCACAGTGCTTTTGTTGTTCCTATGTTTAATGGAAATGCACACAAAAAATTCATTAAAAAATAGACAGCAACGTCAAGTAACATCGGTGCCAAACACTGTCCAACTGGCTCGGCGCAAACACAGCTAATATAGCTCATGCACACACCACCCACAGCAGGCGCGTTCTGGGGCTCCTCCGCGCCCGCGCCAGCCCCTCCGGGCCCACCAGGACGGAGACCAGGCGCGCCAGGACCATCTCGCTGCTTGGTCAGTTAGGGTCTTTAAAACAAAAATTAAAAAATTATCATCTTAAATGAAACTCTGGAATGGCCTTCAGTCAACACCTCCCAATAACGTGAAAGGAGAAATGCAGCTATTACACATCGGCTGGCCAAAGCTGCCCTAGGTTTTAGAAGAAAGAAAAGCCACTTTCCAAAGCTCTAGGATCTGAAATCCCTGGTAGCAAAAATTTATTTTTGTAACTGAAGACAAGGAGAAATTTATAAACGTATTCTAGCAACCCACCAATAAAACAGTAAATATTCCATTCCTGTGACTTATATGATCACCCGGGAGCCAAACATCCGAAACGGCTCTGCCACGTGCCACTAGGACAACCAGGAGTAGGAGACCACCTGCACATCACCCGTCCTCGCTCCTTCCCAACCCCACGTACGCCAGGGAAGTCTCTTTTCAAGGTCCGCAGTGTATCCAGACATCCTCCGAGTGACTAGTGTCCGACGTTAAAAGGAGAAAAAATAAAGCAGCACACCCATTTCAAAGCCCAACAAAGACATCAACATTGTTAGATTCTCCTAAAAATAAGTAGTTCCAATTCATTTTTTCTCCCCCCGAAGACCGTGTGCCTTGGCCAACGTTCAGCGCATGAGCAGGCTGTGCTTTGGTCCATCCACTCTCTCCAGCTTCTCAAAGTGTTTTCTGGCATTGCGGATGTTGATCAGCGTAGCCGCAGAAGCTAGGACGGAAAAGGGACAGGGGAGATAAAAGAAAGTTAAAAAGGGATGTGAGTAACCAAGCCCTCAGAAGCAAAGTCCTGCCTAAAAGCAACGTCCCCGTCAGCAAGCTCTCTTATTCCAACCCCGCTGCTCCCCAGCGGGGCACAATTTAACGCTGGAAGGTCTGGGCTGTTGGCTGATCCCAGGGCAGCGCCGAGGAAGAGTCGGAGGGAATGACGGTCCTGCAGTTTGCTCACGGGGACAGCCGCACAAGTCACCACAGCTGCTCAGCGGCCGCTCCTCCGGCGCAGCAGTACCACAGCTGGTAATTCAGCCACGGGGTTTGCAGAGGTTTTCCCTAATTCAGTAAACCACCCGAGAAGAGGAGGACAGGAAGCATCAACACCGTAAGCCCCAGGGCTGGCCTGGACAGCGTCTCTTAAGCGCCTCAAATCCTACCAGGAGCAGTTTCAACTGGAGCTGTGTAAACAGCAAAACAGTCACACGCTGCCTGTAAGGGCT